TGCTCTTCTGGTATCCTCCCACCATTGTGAAACAAAAAAATCTTTGGGGAAAGACTATTTTGGACAATAAAAAATATATATCAGTAAAATTTCTTTAACTAGATGTGGCTGCTGGAAGGTATTATACTGAAACAACATGCCCTAGTCCCTACTAGGTCACATAAGAACCTGGAATCCATCATAAGTCACTTTCCTACAGCAGGTGGATAAAAAATCACTGCCCAAAGAAGGTTGGGACTAAGTATGTCCTAGAAGTAAAGGCATCCATTAGGTGATAAGTCTCTTTAGACGGTACATAAGAAGAAAATTAAGATCAAGAATGTATAAGTTCCTTAGATGGTCAAGAAAAGAAAAGATATCCCAATTGAGCATTTTTTATTGAAAAGAGGTCTTGAGAAGCAGGTCTTTGGAGAAAGCTGAAAATATTTTTTTCATTTTTTACTCTTTTATTTTCTTGTAGTCTGCTTAGACATTTTTAGATATCTTCCTCCCCTTTTTTCAACCCATCCTTTTGTAGTTTCCTGTAATCCAGTGGCTTGGCCAGACATATGGTAGTGACAATCTGCTAGCAATGATGCAATAGACTAGTAATAAAATCTTTATTAAAAATAATTAATTAATATAAAACATATTAGTTTTTAAAATATAAATAAGCATTAATTGATTACAGTTATATATTCTATAATATTATTGATAATAAAAAATAAGCTTTTAAGAAAAACAATTATAATATTAAATAATAAGTAAAACAATGTATAATATAATATTTTTATTTTTTATTAAGTTTTTCAAATAATAAAATAACTTTTTTAAAAAGAAAGTTAAAATTTTTAAGTTTTTGTTTCAGTTAAATAAAATTAAAATATTATTAATGTTACTATATTAATTGATAATAAAAATTTAAATTTTATAAATAAAAGGTATATTCTATTCTAAGAATTCAAAATAATAAGTTTTTTAGATTATATATAGTTCCAATAATTAATTAATATGTTTCTTAAATAGTTTGAAGTTAAAAAAATTCTAATTAAACAAATTTCTTTTGAGAGAAAATTGCAATTTATTGTTTTTTAAAATAATTTATAGTTATCAATGATTTTGATAGATAGAGGTGAATAATAATCTATCAAGTGAGTTAAATATTGTTCTCTAATTTTAATTAAGAATATTTAATTAAAACTTTGTTTTGTTTAATCCAAACTAGCTTAGTGAACTCCTTATATTTTTTAAGTAATATAATTTTTCAACTAATAATATATAAATCATTATGTGAAAGTCATGTAATATTATAGATTTTTATTTAATATCTCCATAAAGACATGCCAATTGCGGATTTAAAAAAAAAATAAATTAAAATTAATTGTTTATTTATTTAAAAATTAATAAGTAAAAATAAATTCCTAAAAAAAAAATAAAACAAATTAAAAGTCAACTATTTAAGCAAATGCAATAACGTAAATATATTATAGCATGATTCTCTTCGAGTATAGCCTTTATATAGTCTATTAAAATTTTGCAGTAAATATAAAGTGATTAATCTTTCACTCTGAAAGTTATTTTTAAGGGAAATCTATTACGAAATTTTGGCCAATCAATGGCAAAGAGCAAATGAAAATCCAATATTCTATCGCAGTATGATAACCAATCGACCAGCACAGTGTCAAGACAAACATCTCCAAACGAAGTGCAAATTTATAGAAAATGAAAAAAAAATATTTAAAATTATTTTTTTTCATCATACCAATTATATAGAAATATTGTCTTCCCAATTTAAAAAAAAGGAAAACAAAGAAAAAAAGAATAATACACATCCGTTTTACCTGCTGTAAAAAAATGCAAAAAGTTAATATGTTCTTACATAATATCGACAAACTTTACCCATTATATATATTTGACAAGATTGTTAATCCTGCCTCGTCTAAGTCTTTAATTTCTTGCTCGATGATTCAGCGCTCTAAAAGCGGGGAAGATAGAATAACTTTTTAGTCATGAATATAATAACGATATCTACAACTTTAATTACTCACGTTCATAGCGAATCTCTCAGCCCTCCTCTTTTTTCTTTCTTCTTCACTCAATGTTGATAACGAGGATGGGTTTAATGGAGTTGGAGTAAAATCAGGCGTAGCAGTTGATGAAGCGGTAACCTTTTAGATGACAAGGAGTAAGTAAACAAATATCGAGATTTAGGATTAACATTTTATCCAAACTTACCTCCGTTTCAAATTTCTCGGTTCTCTTTCTCTTTTTTTCCTCTTCACTCAAAGAATTCGCAGAGTTTGGGCTTTTTACTTGTACATTATCGAGACCAAACTTTTCTGCACGTTTTCTTAGTTTCTCTTCATCTTCAATTGACTAAAAAACATCAAATAATAAATTTTATGTTCAATATATGATTTCACGAAGAAATACAAGATTTCAAATAATTTCAATATTAAAATATTTACAAATTTCCTAGGCTGTACAGGCAAAGGAGCTTAAAAAAAAAAAGAGTTAATTTTAATCTATCAAAATCAGTAAAAGGTCAGTAATAAATTACCTTTGAGTGGAGAATCTATCGGAATTGAAGCTTCGATTCCAAACCGAGCTGCCCTTTGAAGTTTTTTATCTGCATCGGACAATTGAATTCCAAAACGTTCAGCACGCTTTTTCCTTCTTTCTAATTCCGCTGCCAAGTTTGACTGGGGTTTAGCGACTTGTGACGTAGGTTCTTCGTCAAATACAATTTTTTTACAAGTAAAACCAGATGGTTTGACAAGAATATCGGATTTTGTGTCATTTTCAAGGGTTTTAAAAGTATCATTTTTTTCGTCCGGTTTCTTATAATTTTCTTTGGATACCTCAGCCTTTTCTTTATCAGATGTGAACTCTTTATTAGAGGCAACAGAAAATGAAGGTGAAGTGGGAAAATCGAAATCCGATTCTTTAGATAAATTTGCAATATCTCTACAGTAAACGGAAAGTAGGAAATTTAGATCAATTTATAAACGAACTGTATTATATAAAAAACTTACTCGGTGGTGAATTTATCCCAATCATCCAATCCAGCAGTTTCAATTCCATACGGATCTGAACTGCCATTCTTTGATTCTGTTTTGATAGTCATTTGGGTATTGTCGTTATTGCTAATAAAGTTGATACTAGTAGCACTTATGTCCATATCTTTACTCTGGTTTGTGATGTCTTCCGGTTTTTTATCTTCCGTTGCCAAAATCCTAGCAATCAATTCCTCCTTCTTTCCAGATACAGGTAACCCTTTTTTAACCAATAACTCTTTAAGGTCAATTATTCTAAGGTGACGAAGTTTTGCTTCCGTGGTGGACATATTATTTGAATTATTCATTTAACGCAGTTCTTTCTTGGGTTTTTATCATTATATCAAAAATACTAAATACTGTATTTATTTAACACCTATAATAAAACTGGCAGGCATGTGATCAATTTTGTTATTTAACCCGCCGTCGGATCAGATTAATAATAAGATATACAGTATAATTTTTAGTTAGGTTTCTATAAGTAAAAGCTTAATAAATAATATATATAAAAAATTAGTTTTTTAAATAATTAAAAGAAATATGAGTTTTTTATCGACTTTTAAGAATAATAATTTTTTTTTTTCTATTTTTCTATTTTATTTTATTTTATTTTTTAGTCAGACTAGATATATATGCTTTATTAAATGGTTGTATGCTTTACATTTTGAAATGTTTTATTAAAGCTTAATCTTTATCTAACTCACTTATTTCTATTTATAATTTCTTAAACTTTAAATACAACTTTAGAAATGATTTATCATTTTATTAATAATTCAAATAAAAATCATTTTAACTATTAATTTTATTGCTTACCACTTACTATTATAAATTACTTTACAAGGTTTTGACAAGATTTAAAATCTAATTACTTTATTTTATACTTGATTCTTTTTTTTTTTAAGGTTTTTATTTTCTAAGTTTTTTTTTTTTCATTATTAGTTTTTTTCTTATCAATAATATAGTTTTTGGATTTAAAAAATATAAAGATCTTTTGATCTTATCTTCTTTATAAATCCTTTAAATTTATTTTTATTCAATTATTTTCTTATATCTTATGTTTCAAATTCTTTTTTGAACTTGATTACAAACTTTTTTTTATATTTTTAGTATTTATTTATTTATTTTTTTTCTTTTTTCTTTTTTTTTTTAAAAAAACAGAACAGACCATTTTATTGAAATATAATAAAGAGATATATTTATTCAAAGAGACTATACTCTAGATAAACTACAAACCCATCTATTGTATTACAAAAAATACATTGATGAAAATCCCTGCTATTTATCAAATACAATTCCAAGAAATCAATGTACTTGAAATACTATTAATATTTTATTTTTTGAGAAAAGTAAAAAAAAAAAAAAGATAGGAAGATTTGTATTAAATCAATAATTATGTATAATGTAGATTCGAATCAAAATATTAACTAACAAAAATCTCTAAAAAGTAATCAATAAAAATTAAAGAAAATATGTTTGAAGATTTAAATAGTGGTATAAAAGGAAAAATTATAATTCATATATGTGTGTTTTTTTGCTTGCTGATGTTATTAATACTATTAGTAAGTTAAAAAAGAAACTTGTAACTAATAAACTAATTATTGTGTAACCTATACAGAGGAAAAAAACTTTCACTTAAGTTTACACTATCTTGTATTTCTATAGAATATGCTTATCATTAATGTACTTGAAGTAGAAGTATAGATACAGTTATTTATATTATCTTACAATAACTCCCAGTAATATTTATATATCAACTTGTTGATTATTTTAGAGAATATTGTAAACTTCTAAATCAAGTACTGATACCACTCAATTTAACTTTATCTAAGGTTACCTTAGTATTACAGAAAACTTTTTCATATCTTCTTGGTAAAAATATTCTTCAGCCAGGTTCTAACTATATACAGGAGTAAACTATTCTTGTTAAATAAAAAGAGAAAATTTTTTAGGATGGTCTTCTGTGCAGTCAATTTGATGGATGAGTGATAGAAGGAAACTTCTCTTAATATTATTTAAATAATTATTATATTTTTCAAGATAGAAAGAATTTTATCTCAAAAAGAGAAAAAATTGTAAATAGTGATATACATATATATAATTATATAGATCAATCCAATATAATACATTCTATTTTACCATGATACAATTTTTGTTTTGATATAATAAAAGTTGAAAGATATTTGCTAGACCTATGTGTCCTAAGAGTTAAGCTAAAAAGTCTAGTAGCTATGGGTTTCTTTCTCTTTTTCAAGGCTGATTGATCAAGTAGATTGCAGTTTCAAAAATTTGGTTTCTGTAGTTGCAGTCCTTGAAGAATAGTCACTAAATTAAATTAATAGTTACAATGAGAACAATACCTGATTTTAAAAGTGTTGATACAAAAAGAAACATGTGTATAGACCATATGTATTGTTTTATTATTAATAATGTTATTCAACTCCAAAGTCCCAACCAATGAAATTTTAGCAAGTCTGATATAATCAATAATTCAGGGTCAAAGAGAATAGGCAAAATTTCTCAAAAAAATTAAAAAAGTGGATTGTATATAAGAGAAGGCTTGGGATCTAGTGAATTTCACAAAAGAACAAAACCACTGCATATAGTATAGTCTTTAATAAGTACTTTTTCTCTAGATTTACTTATTCTAATTATGGGAGAAGGAAAGGAAGTTTTTAATTAGGAATTTTCTTTCTAAAGATTTTTTATTGCTATTGGAAGCCTAGATATACTATATCTTACTTTAAACCCCTTTTGGCTCAAAAAATTACACTTGAGTTAAACAGAATATAAAAAAAGTGAATATAGAGTAAAGGGATACTTATAATATATTTGCAAGATATATAATAAGGATAAGTTAGCTCTGTTAATACAGAATGGTTGAGTTTTTTGATAAATATTACTTTGGAGAAATTATTTAGATGATTAGTGAAAAGAGTTTTGTTTATATTCTTGTGTTTCTTTTTTTAATTGTTTTTTATAACATTTCAGATTTATTATTTTTTGAATAAAATCACTTTTTATAAAGCTAATATAAAAGTTTAAGATATTTTAATTAGTTTTTAGAATTTGATATACTAGTTTGAAAATTTATTTGTCAAGTTCTTTTTTTTTTTTACAATTATTTATAATCAATCTAATGCTTTTCTTTTTAGCTTTTTTTTTTTTTATAAAAGTCTTTTGAAGTCTCTAAAAATTCTATCTATTTCTTTCTTTTATATTTCTTATATTTAATTCTTATAGATTGGATATTCTAATAAATATTTTATTATTTTATTTTGATTACTATATATAATATATTTTATTTGTTTATATAAATCAAATCTTCTTATAATTAGTTTACTTAAAGTTAATAATTTATTATTGATTAGTTTGATAAAAAAGCTTTTTTGTTAAAGATTGTTTGAAAAGTATATTATATACAGTATATATATATATATATTACCTTTTTTATTAGATTTTATATATAAATTTATTATTTTAAAATTTGATAATTGTATTTTTTCTTTATTCTATTTTGTTATATTTATTAATAGACTATTGTTTTGTTATTAATATTTATAATAAACTATTCAATTAAATTATCTATAATTATAATTGTTTCAAAGTTTGAGTTTACTTACTATGTTTTTATTATAAATTTCAACTTTGAAAATTTTTAAATCCTTAATTATTATTATTTTTTTTTTAAATATTGATGTTGTTATACTATTTAATCTTTATTTATTAATATTTCCTTTTATACAAATTTAATAGCAATGAAAAATACATTTATAAAAATGAAAAGACTAATAGCTCAGTATTATAGCCAAGACTATAAATCTTGTAATTTACTGCAGTCCATGTTTATAAATGTTAGCATGCTATGACTCCACTAATACTAATATTAAGTGTGAACAAGATATAGAGAGAGAAACTATTGTTTAGGATGTTGGTTATACTTAAATTGGTTAGTTAAATATATAAGAGTTTGAAGGTTTATATAAGGTACTTTTCTATATTAAAGAGTGAGGTGTAGATATTAAGGTTTCTAATAAATTTGCTATATTTTATTTTCCTTGTAATCTTATTTTTCTTTTCCTAAGTAAAAACTATATCATAGTATAACCTCCAGATTTTTCTCTTTTTTTGTCAAAATCTGTTTATTGTTTATAGCCTTAATTTGTAATTTTTATTAATTATACCTGTTTAATTATTACTTTTTTTTTTTTAACCCTTTGTTAGACTAGTTATGTGTATTTTATTAACTATTTATAAACTATATATATAATGTAAATTGCTAAAGCTAAAAAATGCTAACTAGCTCACTTATCTTTGTAATTACTACTCTAAGTGCAACTTTGGAAGTGATTTATCGCTCCATTAGAAGTTCAGATAAAAACCTTTTCAATTTTTAATATCATTGCCTACAGATCACTACTTTAGATCACTCTTTAAATTTTGACATTACTCAAAATCCAACTATCTCATTCCAAATCTAACTCCTCTTAATAAGATATTTTTTAGATCTTTATATTCTAATTTTTCTTTCTCTAGTATTAAAGTTTTCCTTTTCAGTTGTATAGTTTTAGCGCCTGGAAGGTTGGTAAATCTTTTTATCTTATACTTCTTTTGGAATCTTTGCAATCTTTCCCATTCTATCATTCTTTTACATCTTGCATTCTAGATCTTCTTCTGGAACTGATTACAAATCATACTTTGCAACTTCTTAATTCATCTTCTTGCTTCTTTTCCAATTTTTTTACCATGGTATTTAAGGTTCACCATCTTAATATTAAGTTAATTTCTTATTAATTCTACAAAAAAATTTAATATATTTTGATTAGTTGTTAAGAACTATTCTACTAGCCTGGATATTCATTTGTTTACTTTACTTATTTCTTCACTGTTATCCACTATTAATCTAGTATTCTTCTTTTCTGCTTTCTTTTTCCTTTCTTATAAAAGTTTTCTGAAATTTGTTAGAACTCCTTCAAAACCTTTATTCCATATCTTCTTCATTTGTTCCTTGCATGTTAAACATTCTAGCAAATTATTAATTGTTTTTTTTTCTAAAGATCACATGTAGTACATTTTACTTGCTTGTATAAATCTGACCTTTTTATTGTCAGTTTATTTAGTATTAGTAGCTTATTATTTATAAGATTTATAAGAAAGCTTTTTCTTTGAAATCTTTGAAAGATATATCCCACATATAGCTATTTATTCTCCCTTATACTAGATTCTATGTATAGTCTTGTTGTTTTTGAATTTGGTGACATCATTTCTTCTATATTCTATTTTGTAATGTCCA